TACATGAAAATTGATTGTTCGAGATACAAATTGCTATTGACGAGAATTATTAGTGGCTGCTTTTTCTGTATGACAATTAGTCATTTTTGACTAATTCATTTTTAGAGAGTAGTTTTTCTGTAACCACATTTAACTTATAAGCACAAAAACCAAGGAACTTGTTCTGAACTTTTTGAATTTTGTTTGCCAAATTTGATAAATGAGGACACTAAACAACACAACAATATTCCAGCATGCTACGTACAAAGGACATGTATACATTTTTTATACAATAAATATTGTTAAAATCTCTTGAGCTACGTTTTAAAACTTACATTTTCTAAAACAACTGAATTTAAACTATACAGAAAAACAACAGCATTTTTAAATTTATGATTTTACATTTATTCACATTAAGTTTCATTAAATTTCTATCACACCATATTTGTAGTTGATTTAGGTCTTCCTGGATATCACAGCAGTATTCAGTTTCTTTAACAACTATTATAATAAAGCTTTAAGTCGTCAGCAAAAAGTGAATATTTACAAAATTTTATGTTATCACCAATATCATTTATAAAACAATTAAACAAAAGTGGGGAGAGATGTCCACCTTGAGGAACACCAGATTAGACAGGTCTCCAAAATTCGTCCGAAAGATTTGATGAGCTTAATTTTAATCCTGATGTTAGAACTGCTCCATCGCAGGGAATTTTAAGAAAAAAAGTTAGATGGCGTAACCAGGAAAGTACCTTGTAATGTTGTATAACTTAAAATAATACAAACTTTTCCTCTTTTGGGTTTACATTTATCGAACACCTGATGTGATAAAGCAGTTCTGAGGTCGAATTTGGATTCAAGTTTTTGATGACCCTGGGACAAATATTTCAGATTTAGATTAAATTATAAGAAATTTCAAAAGAATTAACACACAATTTAAGATGGCGACGTTCTTTAGAGATTTATTTATTATTACTGAAAGCTTTTTCTACAGTTTTAGATATCAGAACTAAAAAACAAAATTGCAAATTACCATAGACAATAAAAATAAAAACTTTTCATCAAGATTGATATTTTCTGAGAAATGTAAAATATTTTTTTCATCTTTGCAACTCCATCCGTGGACACACTGTATTTGAAATAAAGATTTATGTTTCTTGCGTTTACTAAAATAAAATAATCTAGGAAATACAGTTTCAGTGTTAAAAATGCAATTCAAAATACTTCTGCCAGAGTGGCGAGCGGTTTCTCCAAATAGAGTATTGGATAGAAATAAAAACGGTTATAAAATGTTATGGGTATTTTTTGCATTATTTAAAATTATAGTTGAGTTGGCATAGCATCACCCTGTTCAAAGCACCCGTTAATATATGTTTATGGCATTTTATGCAGTCGCATTGTCGCTCAAAGCCTTGATCACCTAAAACGCGCCGATGATTCATTGGAATTTTCTCGGTAATTCGATGAAAAACATTTAACACCGCAACTTTAACACACAGTGTGTTTTTAATTAGGTGATGGAGCGAGATCAAATCACATATGAATGTTTAGCACGTCGTCATTGTTCGCGGACTGCTTGGTTTTTTGCTGCTAGCAGCTCCCGAGCGGATTGAAATGCTTCTTTAAAGCGTCTGGCTTTATTAACTGCACATTTAATTTTTGAAATGTCGTGGTTTTTGCGTCCGCATCCGATGAAATTATTCCCGAATTAGTTATACATTCTTAAACGTGCTCATGAGCTCAAAGCTCTGCAAAACGAAAAACTAACATCAAATAAGCAAGAGCGATTTTTTTGGAGGGAAACTCTTAAAAATAAAGGTTTAATCAGTTTATAGTAGACCTAAAATAAACCACTTACTTATAAGCCTTTCATGTTTTAAATTTAAGCTCATATTTACTAAAAGATTATGTTTCATATACTTTTGTCCAAATACCAAATTTTTTTCTTTTGAAAACCACTAGACATGTTCTTGTTTTGCAATTAATTGTTTGAAAAATAAAAATATAGCAATGTTTTCTCTTTTATAAAAAAAACAATTGTAACGTATATTAAATTATACTGAAATGTGTAGTAAAACTTGCACTTATCGTGTGTTTTTTCTATTTAAATTCGACCTCAAAATTTTCTTCATCACAGGTTTTATAGAAATTTACCGAAAACGCAGTAGTAAGTATTAAAAAATATATTACATCACAAGATATTTTTTCTTTACAAAACTCGTTATGCCATCCGAAAATCCTTCACATATTCACAATTCCCATATTACAAGAGCATAATTGTGGAGAAATCAATCAAAAGCAGTTAAATACAGTTTTGTTGAAAAATAAGTTAGGTATAAACTAACAGTAAATGAGGAAGATTGGTGAATTGAGCCAAAACAAGTAATATAGAATGATATATAGAATACCGGTCTCGAAACCTAGGAAAAGCAGATAAATCCTATTAATTCAAATTCTTGTTTCAATGAAAATAATATAAATTCACATTATTGTTATTTTAATTAACTTAAATGGCATTAACATTTTTCAAATTAATCCTGTGTTGGTCAATGGATTCAAGCAACACTAGATAAATACATTTTGTGTTTTTACTATAGTATACAACACATGATGAAGGTGGACAAAAAATTAGTTTTCAGGTCTTATTACACTATACTCTATAGAATAGGCTCTTTGTGTAAATGTTGCATAACGAAAAATATTAGTTTTTCGCTGATAACTTGAAACTACTTATAACGGATTTATATACTTTTCTCTGATTGCTCCACAATTATACTGAGTTCTGATCCATTTTAGAATAGGAAAAGTGGTACTTTTAGATAGCCTAACGCGTTTTTTTACTTCCAGGTTAAAATTATTTTTAAAACCTGACGATAAAGCAATTTTGAGATCGACTCAGTCAGCGCATTCAAGTTTGCGCGCGCGGAATTGTGCTCATAGTGTATACTATAGTTACTATATATAGTATAGTATATTCAGATTTTAACAATAGAATGAAGGTTTCATTTTTTAGACCTGTTTTATCTACGCACCTTCACACATAAATGGCAGATTAGTTACAACTATCACACAACAATTTTCTTATGGTATGTCTTAAGAAACAGGTAAGTTGTTTTTGTTTTTTCAAGATTGGTGGAAAACCATTTATTAAAATTTAAATTATTATTTATACTACCTACTTGAAAAATACCTTTTAAAAAACTATATTAAGTATTTTTTTTAAAGTTAATTTCTTAACAAAAAACTCATTGATATAATATCTTTAAATAAATTAAATATTTGTGTCATTGATTTATGATAGTTTCAAAATTGTTGTAAAAATATTACATTTTCAATTATAGTTACTGTAGACGATTCTCAACATTGATTTTTAAATCATAGTTTTTTCTTATTTTTTTCCTATTTATGTTTAAAATGATTTAAATTTAATTTAATAGAGTATCCCTTAAAAATGGACAATTTTTATTACAGTGAAACTGAAAAAAATGTTTTACGGACACTTTATGGTGGAGTACCCGAAATCAAGTTAAATCTAGTTTACTGCCGGCGAAATTAAAAGGTCACTACAATGTTCATATAAACTTTTCATAATATTGGCGTTGAGAAACTATTTAATACTTTTGTATTTTTGTATTTAGATAATCAAATAATTTTCTCATTTGATATTAATTTACATAAAAGGCACTTTATTTTAACGATTGTATGACATTTGTCAATTGTATGTCACAACTGTCACTTAAAATTAACTTCAGTCCGTGACTAAAACTCCATAAAGCCACAACTTGTCATTGTGTAAGTATCTTTTATTACTTTTTAAGCTTTATTGAATACAAAAAGCCTTTCTTAGCAGTATAAATGATATTAAAGTTTGTTTTTTTACAGAAATAAAGTGCTAACATTTTGAAACTTTGTAAAAGTAAGAAGAAATCAAAGTAAAACTTAAATCATTGCTTTAGAAGTAAATAATTCTTTACGTTTTTGTTTTTCATTAAATGTTTTAAACAAACATCCTTTAAAATGACTTTAAGTAAAAAATGCAAATCGATAAAACCTAAAAGAAAAATCCATCCCTTAAATGCATATAAAATGTACAATTATTTTAGTGTTTCTTAAAAAATTTCATTAAATTAAAATGGGAGTATTATCTCTGTTAAGCACGTTGTTCCATTTTCAATAAACCTGTAATTTTATATTCAAACTGTGTCTGCTACATGCTAATGTTTATTAATTCTCCTTTGTAACAAATATTCAAAACATGTTTGGTAGTAAAATCGTAACAAGTCGGGCTTAGACTACGCTACCTATTGTTTGAATTATATTATTCATAATATTGTTTGTTAAATTATCCCCTATAATATACCGAAGCAGACTAAAATAAGATTTATAGAGGCTAAAGTGGAATAACATCAAAGCGCAGAACCTTTTTAAGAAACCCGTTTTTTATATAAATGAGGCCCCATTAAACAAATCTAAAACAATTGATACGCAGGTGTCGGTTATTTGAAGTGAAATGCCCGAAAGTCTCATGAAATTGTAATTTTAACTGAGTTTCGCCGTCGACTGGATTTGTTCACCTTTTTTTCGGCCGGCCGCCTCGAAAAAAGATCCTATTACTTTTTTAGCGCCTAATGACAATGGCCCTCCCAGTAGCCAAGCCAATTATTTCGAACCTTCATGTCTAATTATCATAACCAATAAAACTTTAGATAATTATTTTTCAAAACTGTCCCCTTTTCAACCGGTCTCCTCGATTATTCCGTCTGCCGCGACGAGTCAATAAATTCAGGTTAAACTGACAAATTCTCATAAAAACTGTATGTAAAAAATCATAATTTAAAACACCAATAACGTACTAAAAAGTAAAAAATATTGTAATTTATTTAAAATATTTTGCTACGATATATAACTAATGTAATTTCGACAAAGCTCTCCACAAGTAGGTTAAAACTTAATTCTTAAATTCATTAACATATAATATAAAGCTTGTAATAATAAAAATATTTATTAAAAAAACAATACATTTACAATAAACTCTTTTTATGGGTCACTTTGTGAATCTTTCCAATTGAGGAGGTAAGTGAACTTTTGTCCTCGGTTGATTCTGTTCCCCTTAAATGCCATTTTAAAGGCACCCCGAACTCTATATTCAAGGATTTTAGCTCGTCAGTATAAGGAAATAGGTTACTCTGGATCATTTCTTTAAAAGTGGAACAATTAAACAGCATATTAAACTTTTTAATAGCTTCTAGACAAGGCTTTGGTACGTTGCCTCGCAAATACAATTTTTCCTTTGATAGTATTTTTTCCAATGGCTCTGCTAAAGCAATGACATATAAACCATAACGTGTCCCAAATTCTTTGTAGAATCTACAGCGGAACACCAAGGAAGTATCTATGAAGAGCTTTACATGAACAGCCTCCCATAGTTGTATTATATGCCATATTTCCAAAATAAACCCACAACATAGCCCTTCCAAAAATATGGCGTTTTGTTTTTTACCATTTGACAGTAAAAATCCACTTATAGTATCATCATCATCATCACCAACAGACAAGCCGTCGTGGGAATTGTGTCTAATAATTTGATTAACAAGAAACTCTGTTTTCTGTCTGGAGAAAATAACCAAAAACATACGCTTGAACGTTTTTTCAAAGTTAGATATGGCAGCGTCCAATTGCTGAAATGATATGAAATACATTTCTACCTTACAACTGGTCTCGTGTTCAAGAAACATATATTCTTCCAGCGGTGTAGAATCGTTAACAGGTCTTGATAAAGTAACCTGATTCAAACTCGTGTCGAAATTATATTTTACAATTTGATCAAAGTCCTTACCCTTCTGTACATGAGTAATTGTAGGAATATGACACTGATTAGTTTCCTTAAAAGTCCATACATTTCTGTACAAAGAACTAACATCATATCTTACAACAGCTAATAACACATCCAAATTCTCATTAAGTCTTTTTTTAGGAGCTGCTCTCGTTAGGTCACTAATCTTAAAGTCATTTAAACGAGTACCAAATAATCCCGATGTTTCCATTTTGGGTACTTCAGGTCTGTGGCCAAAAATTAATACTTGGAATGTTCTACTTTTGAAAAATTCCTGCAAATACTGCTTTGGCACGCATTCAGTAAAAAAAATATGACTTTCGTTAAAATGAATTTTAGTTGTAATTTCTTTCAGGTCTGTTTTACAGGCTGCTATATTATCAATTTTATATGTGGCGTAAATTTCTGTGAATCCCTTAGCTTTAATTTCCTGCACTGGCACATTGTATAGGGTGTTTAGTTTTATTACTAAAGGATTATAGTGAAGTTTTTGCTGTACAGTCATTATATTATCCAGTTGTATTACAAGGAAGAAATCCAACACTAATGGTTCTTTTGGTGTTTTACCTTTCTTAGATTTTTTACTAGATTTGCCAGATTTTTTACTAGATTTTCCTAGTTTCTTTGATGATTTTTTACTGGATTTTTTTGATTTCTTTGAAGATTTACTAGATTTGGATGAACCTCTTTTTTTTCGCTTCTTTTCTTTTTTATCTGGTTCTTTTTCCACTGGTTTTACATATCGATACAAGCTATAAAATGGATCTGTAAAAAATATTTCCCCCGATACCATTAACTTTATATTTTTATCCTTTTTCTTTCCTTTTTTACTTTTATCACTTTTGCCACTTTTTTTACTCTTTTTACTCTTTCCACTCTTTTTACTCTTTTTACTTTTTTTACTAGTCTTGCTTGCTTTATCCGACTTAATTTTAATTGTATCTAGTGGATCAACAGGATCTTTAACAAAATCTTCCTTTAGTAACTCAGGACCACAGACTGGAATAAAAGTTTTATGTTTTATAAATTCTTGCTGGGTAGATTTTTCCATTAATTCCAAAAGATCTGCATCGAAACCATCAAAATAATTAAATCCAGAAACTTCATTCTTCTCTGATGATGTTAGTGATGGTACTTTAACAAGAGCTGTACTTGTTTCTAAATTAGGATCATAATCATACACTTCAATAAAACCAATTTTATCAACATCTTCAAACTTCATGTAGAAGGTTTTGGTCTTGTCGGCTTTTGCAGCAGCCCCAACCTTCTTCTTATTATCAAAAACGTTAAATTTTGCGATGTGAGCCTGAACAATTTTTAATTCTTGGTCGGTTATATTATTCATAAAATGCTCAAGGCATATGGGGACCCATGCCGTTTCACCTTTGACTATCGTTTTTATGATTTTGATTCCATTTGGGCTGAAAATTTTTGCTACAGGGCCCCAACAAACAACATCAAACGAATATGAGATGTATTTTGGAACCAGTTCGTAGTCTACATGTATAAAGCCAATAGGTTTCTCCACAGGTATGTAATGTTTAGGTGGTGGAGGCTTAACCACTTCTCTTTTAGGTGATTTAGATTTGCGCGATTTTGATTTTTTACCTTTTTTGCTGGATTTTTTACTCGACTTTTTGCTAGACTTTTTGCTGGATTTAGATTTTCCTTTCTTGCCTTTTTTACCTTTTTTCTTTGCCGGGGTTTCAGGTTTCTTTAAATTAAATGCCAATAGAATTCTTATATAAAAGTGTACCATTGTATCATACTATGGAATGTCATAGTTCTGTCAATAGACTAACTTGAAGTAAAAATAATGCCAACCTTAATAATTATTTATTTAATAAAAAAAACTATTTATTTAATGGCGTGATAAATTTTTTGCCATACGCTATTGTATTTAAAGTTAAAATAAGGATGTGTGGTATTTTATATGCGTTTAAACTTTGCGTGTCAAAGCCCACTAAGTTTATAGACGTGGCAGGTTGAACAATTACTAATTCTAACTAAATTTAAAAACATGCTGCTCATTAGTAAAAAAATTCACGCTTCGATGCACTTACTGCCTATTTTTTAAGTATTTTATCTAGGATGACTGAATGTTCCAGTGGTTAATAATTTAATAAAAAATATCCCCGCTAAATTAATAAATCATGGAGTATCTTGTACAATTAATTTTCCTTTCGAGTTATCAAATTTAAAAGCACTTCTGAGAAAGTTATACTGTCGTATTCCTAAAGCAATATACTCCCCCTAACATGTTAATTTATAAAGATATAAGTATGATAATCATCTTCGAATTTTTACTGTTCTCGGGGGTAATTTGATACAGCAGCACTAATTCATGGGGAGCAAGGTGTGGCGCGCAATTTGTCAAGAGATCCCCTTCTTCAGTTAGGTACAGGGGGAGAGAGAAGTCTGCAAACGGAAAGTTAATGAAGACATTTTATCATTTTATGATGTATGTTGCTATTAGATGCCTGAAAACGCTTTGATACCGTCACGAAGACAAAAGAATAAAGCATCGGGGAGGATGCTATCGGCGATAAAAATTATGATCTACTGCTCTAATCAAGTGCGGCTCTATTTCAGCATCCATTTCAAGAGCGTGAGGTTAATAAATAACATTTTCACACCACTCATTTAATACTTTCGATATTATTTAATTACTACTTACTTTTTATTATACTATGTTTCTGGATCAACTTTATAGTCTTATAAGAGTAAAAAAATTTTCATTAAAAATTTTTTGAAAAGAATGGGCCAAATACTCGATGCTTAGGTCTAGGTTGATTGTGAATGAAATAAAATATTGACATTTAAAAAAAATTTCCATGATTTTATATCATTTCTGAAAGTACCTGAAGTCTAAAGAATACGAACCTAAAAAATACAAAGTTTTAGACGTAGATCAAGTTTTAACTTTTTATAAAAAATGATTCTGATGAAATTTTTCTTTTGCATAAAGTAGTATCTATTATAGATAAGATGGTTAAAATGATGATTGACGATATTGAAGATAAAGGTACTGTTTTACTAGATACAGAAACTAAAACTTTAACATCAAAAAGCTTCACCATTGTTAAAGGGGAAAAATTTTCTTATATACAGAAACAGTCGCCACTGTCTGCGTCTTGCGTCACCTACTCTTCTTGTTGGAGCAGGTGCTACTTTTGAAACGTTAAAAATTCATGGAAAGTGGAAAAGTGGAAAAGTTCGACTGTAGCGGAGGAATACATAGAGGAAAGTATTTTCTTAAAAAACAAGATTGCTCATATGAATATCAATTCTATAACTTCAATTGAAAAGGTAAAAGATAATAATTGTTCAATAGTATCATATCAAAATTAGAAAATAGGGAAGAATCTTCACTTGTTGTAAAAAAATACCTACAGAGCCCGCCCTTTGCACGACCGTCATCTTGAAAACAATGCAAGAGGCGAACTTGTGGTGAATGCACGTATAGTTCCAGTCAAAATTTTTGTACTGTGGTGAGTAGTTATTTTCTTACGTATATATATTTCATTGTAATTTATATAAGGCTATATGTGATTTGTTGATAAGTAGCATCCACTAATAAAAAATATCAGTAAAATACTTAATTCCGAATTATAATCTCAAATTTGTATCCCATTCATCAGTACCGTGTCGTCAGATCCATGTTCGATGTTTCGGTTATCTTTTTTTCGCAAACTTTAATTTAAATTCTGCTTGCGCAGAACTTGTTTATTTAATGTTATTATAAACTCATATAAATTTGGTGTGGGTCCCATATCTAATATTTGAGATATCGGTATACCCAAAATCCACCAGCCGCCACTGATGTGTGGTATTATTGGATTTTAAGATATTTAATGTATAATATGTTGCAATAAATCTTATATTTTCCAATAAATTATGTATTTAATTGATATACCTTGGTATACTCGTCACTTCCCGTGTATTCAAATTT